TCAAGTCGTTTCACGCCAACAACAACCTTAAGCTATCTTGTCAATGAACTTTTCATTGAACAGATCTTTAATGAAACTATGTACGGGTCATATTACCAACAATGTGCTCCAGTTTATTGTAGTTATACGTATTCGCAACGATTTGATCTTGTATACGTCATCACTACTCTAATAGCTCTTTTTGGAGGACTCAATATAGCATTGCACTTAATTGCTCCTTACCTAATCGATTGTCTATTATTATTGAAGAAGAAACTGTTCCTTCAAAATGAATTTCAGCAGAACGAAAGTAAGATTGTACATATTTAATAATGCACAACGTTTGTAAATGTTTTTATTTTATTAGCTCCAATTCCAACATTTCAAAATCGTTTCCATAATTTAGTTAAAAAGGTAAAAGAATCAATTGTACAGCTGAACTTATTTGGAAGTCATTCGCTGGATGCACATAGAGTATATCGCGAACGCATCTTAACTCGATTGTATCTGATACTAATGACGAGTGCTATGACTGTACTTATTTTTTACACGTTTTTATCGATGCAGACGATGAACAAAACAATTACGTCACCTTCGCAAGATCAATATGAAGAATTACAGGAACGATATCCAGATACGTTACAATGTTTTTGCACTGAAATATCGATTCCCTACGGAGAATTGATCGAAATCAAACCTATCTATCATCAAGTGTGCACAAGTGACTTTGTTCAGCCATGGTGGTATCAAAATCTTATTGTTAAAGATGGTGTGTACATTTACTTTGACTTTCACCCCTCCGCTTCATCTTATTTTCAAATGCTGGCTACACTATGTGATCTAGCGAACTTGACGACTATTGAAGCATATCGTCGTTTTTCTTTCGCGAGATTTGTCAATGCTCAAGTTCTCCCCAATAATCTGTTCATTTCACAAACTCAAGCACTCATTGATTCGTTTTTAAACTCTCTACGAGCCGATTTTATCTATACTTTGTCATTGATTAATACAGTACTTCAGGCGAATCAGTATGTGAGCGTATCACAGCGGAATACTGTTTTCGAAACATACGATCTATTTCCTTTTATGATAGACGATGAGACTTCGTTACAGCTAATACTGGTTAGTGGGTATTATCCTTTGATTCCTAGTGGTAGAGTATGTTTCTGCGCTCTAAACTCTGGATGCACTTCGATATGCACTCTTAATGGTGAGCAAACACTTGAAGGAGTGCGTGTGGGCTGTCTTTTGACCGATGCTGTGTCTCAATCGTCACTTGTTTGCTGGTATAATGATAGCTGTATGGAACAAGTACAAACGGAATTTATCAGCGATGGTGCCATCATTTTCAATAATGCCACTAAACTCAATTCTTCATTGAAAAGCAGTTTTCCACCTGACACTCTAGTGCAAACTATACTCGAAAATGTTATGGCTGATCAATGGCAATCATCAGCGTCTTATACGAACTTTTATCAGAAGTGTCGTCCTGCTCTTTGCTCATATACTTATCAAGAAAGGAGTAGTGCAATATTTATTATTACTAAAATTCTTGGTCTCTTTGGCGGCCTCAATATTGCTCTTCAATTGATCAGTCGGTTTGCTGCCAAGATCTTTTTCAAGTTTATTCACAAGCGTACTACACAGGAACCACCGTTGGCATTTATTGATCAGGCAGCGATCGAACGTAAGTAAATGTTTATTTATCACTAGAATATATTACTCCTACGAAGCGAATGTGAAATTTAGAAAATGAAAGTTATTATCTTGTCTCGGGTATTTTTCAACTAACGAGAAAGCGCTATATCCAGGTAGACAGACGAAAGATGGATAATAATATGTTTGTCTTGTCATTCGTCTGTTTGAGTAAGTTGATTTAAGTAATGCACGATCATGCATTTTCATATCTTATTCTATTCTGTTAAGTCTAAACACCACTGTTATATAGAATCAGATCCGCCACAGTATTTTTCCAATTCGTAGTTTGCACTGCAGAAGTCCTTTTAATGAACTCTGGCAAAATTGATGAGACTACTTTCTTTAGAGAATCGTCGAGCTGATCCTAATCGATATCACTTGTTGACACAAATTCGTCACAAACTTATCACGTTAAATTTCTTCAATAACAATTCAACTGAACTCCGCACAGTACGCCGCGAACGCCTCTCAACACGACTGTACTTGGTCCTCTTACCTACTATCATAGGGATCCAGATCATCTATACTGTTCTATTAAAAGATACTACCGTCCAGATAGTTCCAATGCCGTCGCAATCTCAGTATGAAAACTTGTATGCATCAGATTTAAATGGATTGCAATGTCCTTGCTCGCGTATATCCGTGCCCTACAAAGAATTTATCACAATTAATTCCACTTTTCATCGAGTGTGCACAAGTGATTTTGTAAAGGATGTTTGGCTTAGCTTTCTGTATGGCGGTAGCATTGGCGGTGGTTATCCCTGGTATTATTACAGCAGGTACGATATACGTGTACGTGGTGCTGCATATTTTCAACTATTGTCATTATTATGCTCGACTTCACAAACAACTATCAAAAATGCTGTCAATCAGTTTGTTGAAGAAACATTTGTGAGTGCTCAAGCTATTTCTCAACCAAGTTTTTTCGTACAAACCAACGTTACTATTCGTCAATTTCAAACGAGCACTACATCTGAGTTTTCTCGTACCTTGCAACTTATACGTGATATAACACATGGAAATACTTTTATTTCCAGCTTTCGCTTGAACTGGCGCTGGTTGGTAGTGGGTGAGAGTGGTAATAGTACGGTGCCCACTGATGCCATCTCGCCAACTAATAATTGTTCTTGTGGTACAAGAAGTGATTGTGTGCAACCCGGTGGAATCTATACGGTGGGTTATAATTTTGGAATGTATGGTGGTATCTCTATTCCTAGTACTCAAATGTTTGCTATGCCTGGTTTTAACGTTGGTTGCTCATCAGTTGAGACACTATTGCGATCTACATTTGAATGTCTGTATAATCAAACATGTATTGATCAGTTACAGATGTTTGCTACAATAACCTATCTCCCGATTCCTCCTGCAACAGATTATATAATGGCCATGAATTCCACATTTGTCAGCCGTTTCCAACCAAACACGACTATCGTCGATATTGTCAATGAGCTTTTTATTGAACAATGGCAAGTAAATGTTTCGTATTCAAAATTCTACGAACAATGTGCACCGACGTATTGTTCATATACATTGGAGACGAGTCCTACTTTTATATACATTATAACCCAAACTATAGGCATATATGGTGGCCTCACTGTTGCCTTGCGTTACATTTCTTTATATACGATCCAACTAGCATCGTACATTGGAAATCGTGGTCGTAATAACAGAGTCGCTCCGCTTACTTAACGTTTCGTCCATGACTTAATACATATAGAAAGCATATGGTTATATCCAAGCGCACTATCTCACAAATATGAGATTGAAAACATTGTGTGACTTTCATTAAATACTTGAATCGAATGACTACTCAGTTTATCTTCGATTTAGAGTTTAGTGAACGATTAATCAGCTTCTTTTTTTCTATATGATCATGCAGTTGAATTAATATATAATCAATCTATTTTAAAATTTAACATTCACAACTACAATAGCTTTAAAATAAGATGCTAACGCTGATTTCTATGTTTAGCAGCAAGATTAGAGTAGATATGCAGCAAAATCTTAAGGGTGTAGATAAATGTGGAATGCACTGAATTCCTAACACCCGCATCCTTTGATTTCCAAACTATTAATACCATCCTGTATTTTTGTTTCATAGAGATTGTCGAGACATATCATTGATAATACTTCAGATAATGACAATGTACAAATATTATATTATTTGTATTCTATTAACCATGCTTACATACTATCACTTAAGTTGCATAATTGATAATAACTACTTTTAATAGTTTCTCTATTAGTTTATATATATATATATATATATATATATTATGTGTTCGTTGAAAAATAACTTTCTAAACAATCTCAAAATAAAATGTATGTTTTCTATTATTACGACAGCTGTGAATGTTGTAAAATAAACGATGTCAAACAGATAATAGAATATTTTTCTGTCGTACAATATGTTGCCGATCTCATTGCTGTAATTTAACGATTAAATGCTTATTTATATCTTATTGATCTATAATGTGAATATCAATAAAATTGTAATAAGAGCATATGCAAAATTTCAATGTATTACTCTTATGTGTTGTCATACTTTATCATAATAGCAAAGGTTAGATATTGGATAATTGACGATTAACTAAGTCATTATTAAAAACGACTATGAAGTGTTTGTAATTATTCATTATAACTGTTTCGTAGAGAATACAAATGTTTTGTTATTAATCAAATGCAAATAAAATGTATTAATATTCGGGTCATATAAACAATAGTATTTAGATGAGATATTTATAGTATTATGTGATATATTAATATTTATGAAAATTGAAAATCATCTTTCTAATTTACTAATATTTTAAGTATACTTTTGATAAAATATATGACATAAAAAGATTATTTGTTTAATCATACTCAAAGAAAAAGTAAGATATAAATAGATAATACTCGGTATATTTTATTATTTATTGAACAAGCACCAACTGAATTTATAAAGATAAGAACAAATCACCGGGAAAAAAAACAGGAATAAAGTATAATCATTATCCATAATACCCACCCTTGATTAAATTACTGAAAAACCAGAAAGTTTAAACTAATGGATCAATTTTTGATGTACGATAACGTATAGCAAATAAAGCCAATGCACCAATACCCGAAACTACACATGCTGCAAGTTCAATTGCAGCAATAATATTATTTCTTGTAGCCTGTT